AATCAAAAAGTTAACCCAAACATCCATATTTTCAACCTCAATTTTTTAGTCTAAAAAGACAAAAAATACACTTTTTTAGTCTTCCCAAACTTGGCCTAACTATCAAATTAGGTTTTTGCACTATAGTTAAAATCTGAACTACGGATTTTTGTTTACTCTTAAGGCTCAATTTGGGAAGAAAGTTATAAGTGGCGTTTTGGCAAAAAAGCCAAAACGCAAAAAGTGATTTTTTTTTTTTTGCCATAAATTGATTTGGGATGTTGGTTATAAGTCAAAAGAAAAATTACGAAATTACCCTCCATAGATAGAAAATAAAAGGGTAAAAATGTGTAATTTTTCAATTGGCTAGGGATACTTTGGTCATTTCATTATGATTTGACATTACAAACAAATATTAATTAAAAAAAGTCAAAAGTCACTTTTTACCAACTTCCCAAATCATTTGTCTAAAAAAAGCCAAAAGTTTGGTTAAAAGCCAAAAAGTCATTTTTTACCATCTTCCCAAGATAAGCCTAATGATAAGATTGAAAGGGTGGTTGGAGGTAGGATGGTGTTCAAAGAAAGAACAAGAAATTCAAATTTGGGCTCGTGTGCCCTAAGAAATGGACGTCCAACAAACTTCTTGGGGGTGTTGGTTTAGGATGTCCTAAAAAAGTGCACTTTTTGACTTATTGGTGGGTTTGGGTTGGGTTTGATGTGATGTGTTAGAGAGGTGATGTGATTTAAATAAGATGATGTGACTTAAATAAGATAGTGACTTTTTGACTTTTTGGCTTATTTACATGCCAAACTAGCCCTTAGGGTTCGTTTGGCAAGTGACTTTTTTAGTTAAAAAGTTATTAAAAAAAATCAAAAAGGTAGCAACCTATACCAAAAAGTCAAAAATTTCTTTTTCTCTCTACTTTTTGCACATCTTTTCGTAAAAAATCAAAAAGTCATCCCAAACATACTAATTTTTTTTACATCATATTTTAGCTAAAAAGCCAAAAAGTTGCTAAAAATACATATTCCCAAACGAGGCGTTAAGGGCAGCTCGAGATTTGTTAAGACCATTAACATTAAATACCAATTTTACGCTTCAAAATACAGGATTGTTAGGAAACGGCAACTTCGAGCTTAGCCCCAATCCATCGGACATGAAAGGGACAGTGGTGCTAAGACACAACGCCCTACCAAAATGGGAGATATCGGGATTAGTAGAGTACATAAAATCGGGTCAAAAGCAAGGCGACATGTTGCTAATAGTGCCAGAGGGAGCATTCGCTGTGAGGCTAGGCAATGAGGCGTCGATCAAGCAAAGGGTTCAAGTGATCAATGGAATGTACTACTCCATCACCTTTAGTGCTGCCCGGACTTGCGCCCAAGAGGAGCGACTCAATGTGTCGGTGGCGCCAGACTCCAGCGTGCTTCCGATGCAGACCTTATATAGCAGTAATGGTTGGGACTCATATGCATGGGCATTTCAAGCAGAAGTTGATGTGGCGGAGATAGTCATACATAATCCTGGAAAGGAGGAAGATCCGGCTTGCGGACCACTTATTGATTCGGTGGCCATTAAAGCTTTGTATCCTCCCAGAGCAACCAACAGTAAGTTATTCTTCCAATCATTGAATCATTAGAATTTAGTTAATTTTTCTAATTATTCATATGAAAATGATAATCATACAAAAAAACTTATAGAAAATGATGTGAATTCTACGATTATGATTTGCTTAGGTAGGAAAAGAGATATGGAGGACATTACACTAAAAATCATAGTTGATACAAATTGGAATGTCCATTAATTAATTGAAATACTTTCTATTAAATGCTATTTTTTTCATAAAAATTTCATTGTGGTCCTATTAACATATGAATATCTACGTACCCTCTCAACATAATGTTAATTGGACTCAATACAAATTTGGTAATTTTTCCTTTACTAGACAATAATTTTAACTCTGCCAATACATGAAATTGCATAAATTATATATTTATGTGTGCCACATCGGTATTTGGGGCACAATTTCTTTGTCCTAAGGGGTCACAAATTGATAACTCAATGTCTAATTGCAATGTTTCTTGCTTGTCATCTTCAATCCAACATGCAATGTTTTGACAATGCCAGCTTCAATTGACCTGGAAAGATGCTTTCTCACATTACTATTAGTCATCATATTGAATATAGTAGGGACAATATTGTGTCTTTAATTTAATATATTAAAACTTGATGTTCACAAAAATCTAATATTATGACTTCAAAGATAGTTAGATGATAATTCTGTCTTACAATTCATGACAAACTTGATCTTTTTGCCACATCTCGATCCCTATGCCAGGTTATCTATCTACTATACGATCAGAACTAGAGAAACTTATCTCATGAGATTGGGGATAGGAAAGAACATGACAGAGAATCTTGTTTCGTTTCGTGATAGCATTTAGGTGAACAAGTTGAAGTGTCACTTCACTTTGTAGATGATTGGATAATTGCTTCCATGTTATGTGCAGAAAACATATTAAAAAACGGGGATTTTGAAGAAGGACCATATGTTCTCCCCAACACATCTTGGGGTGTCCTAATCCCGCCAAACATAGAGGATGATCACTCTCCCCTGCCCGGTTGGAAAGTCGAATCTCTCAAAGCTGTCAAGTACATCGATTCCGACCACTTCTCAGTGCCACAGGGAAAACGGGCGGTGGAATTGGTGGCTGGAAAAGAAAGTGCCATTGCTCAAGTGGCACGGACAGTCCCCGGAAAGGTCTACGACCTCTTCTTCGCTGTGGGAGACGCTAGCAACGCTTGCGAAGGGTCCATGATCGTCGAGGCTTTCGCAGGCAGAAACACCATTAAGGTCCCTTATGAATCTAAGGGCAAAGGCGGGTACAAGCGCGCAATCCTTAGGTTTGTGGCCACTACAACGCGAACTCGTATAATGTTTTTTAGCACATTCTACACCATGAGAAATGACGATTTTTCTTCCCTGTGTGGGCCAATTCTTGATGATGTGAAGTTGTTGAGTGTTCATAAGCCACGACGAATGTAAAAATACTCAAGACTATGCTTTAATAGTAGTCTCATGCATTGAGGAACTTTTTTTTTTTTTTTTTGTTCTTTTCTTTTTCTTATCCATCAACAAATCTCTCTATAAATCTAAGATCCAAATGCAGTCCTCTAGAATTTCAATTTGACAGCATGTTTAGTTGTGTTTTCAAATCTAGTTTCTATTTTTTTTTATTTATTTATTTACTACAGAGTCTAGTTTGTTGAAATATATATATATATATATATATTCATATGATTTTTCTCTATTCTGGGGTGAAAGCAAATTTTGAAAATCTAAAATAACACTTTTGGTTTTTCGTTTTATCAAATTAATTTTTTAATTTTTGAAAAAAAAAAATCAAAAAATAAGTTCTTTTCAAGAGTCAAAACTTAAGGTAGAACTGATCATTCTCATCATATTTTTCAAAGGGTAATTTAACCTGGGTAAAGCACTATCATTTCAGTACTTCTCTATAACAAAAAATATTAGATATTTTTAAAGTAATACGTGTCCATACTTTTTTATCAATTATCTGTAACCCACCAGTTCAAATTGCTAATTTGAAACCGACAAATTGTTCAATTTATGTACACAGTTTTGAGATGTGTGGTTCAAGGACAGGTGAGAAATTAACCAACTCATTAGGGACGGCTGAGTTGATAATTTTTTTCAAAACTTGCCTGCTCCGATCTATGTACACTCATTTATTTTATCATACAAAATCAATTCTTGAATTGGTGGTATTTTTTTTTTGACACAATTTTTTTCTTCCTCAAAAAAATTGCCTTTAACAGTTTGATAATTATAAATAAAAAGAAATTGCTATTGAAAGATTGATTTATATATTCATAATTTCAAAAATAACTTCTGTTCATTTTCTTTATTACTAAATTATATATATATATATATATATATATTTATAATGTTAACTATGAAATCGTACGAAGGCACTCTTTTTAGAGGTGGTCTATAGTAAGGGTGAGTACGGTTCGAATTGGTTGAGTTTAACCGTAAACTAAGACTAATTCATTACTTACGGTTCCATCAAATTTGGAACTAAACCAATCTATGAAAATTCTGAAACCAATCCGAACTGAACCACTAAATATCGGTTCGGTTCAGTTCTTTTTGGAACTACGAATTTTAAAAATATATCATTATTCACAATATGATCATAAAATATTATTCAAAACCTAAGAATTATTTACATGATTGTTTACAACTAGTTCTATCACTATACAAAAATATACATGTAGCGGTAGAGAATTATAATTTATACATATTTGATACTAATATAATATTTTCATATGTACATTTGGTAACAAATTATATATAATCTAAGCAGTTCGGTCCAATTCCAAATAAATTCGTAACTATAAAATCACAAACCGAACAGTAAAGTACGGTCCACCTATTCAAAAAATCGTAACTGAATTGTACATTGAGAAACACAAACGAAATTGTGCAATTTGATCTGAACCAGACCGATTTACGATTTTTTTTTTCTTTTTTTATACTTAGCTCTAGTTTGTAAAGATAAAAACGATACATTTTTATAATTAAAAGATCAAAATATTTGAATTCATGGATAAAAAAGATAAAATAATATTCGTGAATAATTGTGGGGGGTGATGGTGTAAATAACCCAAAATTAAAAGGGGAAACTCGTGGTTACGTAGTGGTAGGTAACCCCATCCATGTGACCTGAGTCCTGACATTACATTCGTCACGTTGCCACCGTTTACAGTCTCAAATGGCATTTCTGTTATTATCTCAAAATGTAGGGGCTTTCATGGAGATAAGCATGCATAAAATGCCAATTTGCTTCCTCCACTTCAACACACAATTTTGTTCTCTCTCTCTCTCTCTCTCTCTAAAAAGAGCAGGCAAAAGAGTTTGAAAATGGGAGCACTCACTATACTGTCGGTGCTACTTTGCGCCACCTGCCACGTCGCCTTGGCATTCACCGACGGTAAGCTTGATTTGGTTGTATTCTTTGAGTCCAAAGTTGATTTTTCAACAAAAACTGATTGATTCGAAAGTTGATTTCTAAACCAAAAAAAAAATAATAATTTTAATTTAAATATTAAATGTGTAAATTAAGACAATGTGGTGGGTAAAAATAATCATTGTGTAACCTTTTGGTCACAATATATATCTGGTGTAGAAGTGAAAATGAAAAATTATATTTTATAGTATTTTTGATTAAAATGATGCAATAATAACATTTTAAAAAAATATAAGTCACTTTCATCAGCCTTTACTTTAAAGTGATAAAATTAAAATTTATTATATCATTTCTATAGTGATTGTGTGTATAACTTTTTTATTTATATAGTTTCTTGGTGAAAATAATGACGACACTCATTTGACTATATATAAGGAGGTTTGTGGGAGCTTCCACATTTTGTACTTTTGGATATTAATTATTAAACAAAAATCAATTATTCAAATATCAAGTATCATATTAACTATCAAATTAGGTTTTTGCACTATAGTTAAAATCTGAACTACGGATTTTTGTTTACTAAGGCTCAATTTGGGAAGAAAGTTATAAGTGGCGTTTTGGCTTTTTGCCAAAACGCAAAAAGTGATTTTTTTTGGCCATAAATTGATTTGGGATGTTGGTTATAAGTCAAAAGAAAAATTACGAAATTACCCTCCATAGATAGAAAATAAAAGGGTAAAAATGTGAGTCTAAAAAGACAAAAAATACACTTTTTTAGTCTTCCCAAACTTGGCCTAACTATCAAATTAGGTTTTTGCACTATAGTTAAAATCTGAACTACGGATTTTTGTTTACTCTTAAGGCTCAATTTGGGAAGAAAGTTATAAGTGGCGTTTTGGCAAAAAAGCCAAAACGCAAAAAGTGATTTTTTTTTTTTTGCCATAAATTGATTTGGGATGTTGGTTATAAGTCAAAAGAAAAATTACGAAATTACCCTCCATAGATAGAAAATAAAAGGGTAAAAATGTGTAATTTTTCAATTGGCTAGGGATACTTTGGTCATTTCATTATGATTTGACATTACAAACAAATATTAATGAAAAAAAGTCAAAAGTCACTTTTTACCAACTTCCCAAATCATTTGTGTAAAAAAAGCCAAAAGTTTAGTTAAAAGTCAAAAAGTCATTTTTTACCATCTTCCCAAGATAAGCCTAATGATAAGATTGAAAGGGTGGTTGGAGGTAGGATGAGAATAAGTTAGGGTGTTCAAAGAAAGAACAAGAAATTCAAATTTGGGCTCGTGTGCCCTAAGAAATGGACGTCCAACAAACTTCTTGGGGGTGTATTTAGGTTTCGTTTGGCAAGTGACTTTTTTAGTTAAAAAGTTATTAAAAAAATCAAAAAGGTAGCAACCTATACCAAAAAGTCCAAAATTTATTTTTCTCTCTACTTTTTGCATATCTATTCGTAAAAAATCAAAAAGTCATCTCAAACATACTAATTTTTTTTACATCATATTTTAGCTAAAAAACCAAAAAGTTACTAAAAAAACATATTCCCAAACCAAGCCTTAAGGGCAGCTCGAGATTTGTTAAGACCATTAACATTAAATACCAATTTTACCCTTCAAAATACAGGATTGTTAGGAAACGGCAACTTCGAGCTTAGCCCCAATCCATCGGACATGAAAGGGACAGTGGTGCTAAGACACAACGCCCTACCAAAATGGGAGATATCGGGATTAGTAGAGTACATAAAATCGGGTCAAAAGCAAGGCGACATGTTGCTAATAGTGCCAGAGGGAGCATTCGCTGTGAGGCTAGGCAATGAGGCGTCGATCAAGCAAAGGGTTCAAGTGATCAATGGAATGTACTACTCCATCACCTTTAGTGCTGCCCGGACTTGCGCCCAAGAGGAGCGACTCAATGTGTCGGTGGCGCCAGACTCCAGCGTGCTTCCGATGCAGACCTTATATAGCAGTAATGGTTGGGACTCATATGCATGGGCATTTCAAGCAGAAGTTGATGTGGCGGAGATAGTCATACATAATCCTGGAAAGGAGGAAGATCCGGCTTGCGGACCACTTATTGATTCGGTGGCCATTAAAGCTTTGTATCCTCCCAGAGCAACCAACAGTAAGTTATTCTTCCAATCATTGAGGCTAAGTTTGGGAAGTCCCAAATAAGCCAAAAAGCCAAAAAGTTACTCAAAAAGTTAAAAAGTTAACACTATTCACCAAAAGTCAACAATTACGGCTGCACAACTCCTAATTCAAATTTTTCTCTACAAATCAATTTTTACAATTTTTTATTACACATTTTTGCACTATCTGGATTCTTACTATAATTTCTGTTTTGAACAATTCTAGACAAACAGTTTAATTTCTCTCCAAAACTTACACATGGAATCCTTTTTGGTAAATACAGGAAGAAGAAAAAAAAAAAAAAAAGAAAAATTTTTTTT